AGTTGACCTGGCGATTCTAGGGAAAGCCTCACATTGAGATCAGCTTATGCATTGCCCGGTTGGTCTGTATATCTCTTTGATCTGGTCGGGTACTCGTATGTGAACCGATCATACTGTCAAATTTAGACTGATAACTAAGCTGTTGGACCACGTGGTGTTGAGAGACGTAAGTAAGGTCCTCGCATGAGTTGGGATCCCACTGAGTAAGTTAAAACTTCAAACCCAACGAAATACAGAGAGAGAGACAGGAAAAAATAGCATTGAAATTTTTGAAGGATGCCATATAACTATTGAATGGAATCACTTGGTAATTCGCTGAAACTACTTCTTCATTTTTCAAAAGAATATTGGGAACCCAATGTGATAAATCTAGCGTGAAATAACTTGATCACGATATTCCATTTTACAGGCTACGGAACTGCTTTGTTCCCTGGGCGATCCGCTCCAATACACCGGATCAAAATTGCTCCAATTTGTCTTCTATCTGAACACGGCCGGCGCGTTCAAACCGCTCGATTTACCCATGAGCGATGCACCTCACCTGGCCGGTTCGAACACGCTGAATGGTACGACGAGTGAGACCGCATCACCTCGTACTCCCAGACGAAACAATAACTCGCGGCTAGATAGAAGAGATGTGGCCGAGGAGAGCGAGTCACTCTCGGGTTCTCTGGTGAATGATTCTGTCACCATTCACGCAGAGGTGTTCAGCGGCAATGACGATCTGGACCCGTGGAACAACAAGGCCACCATCACGTACAAACTTCAACTTGCAGCTAAAATCGATGTAAGTTCGTATGGATTACACTCAGTTTCTACTTGCTTTTGAGGCAGTGTTCGGTGTAAAACTCTAAGGTCAAACTCACCCAGCCGAATTTCTTCCACATGATTATATGAGGCTTTTTATCAATACACTTTCAATTCATCTATGCTTATTTATTCAGCTCGACCGATTAACGTGAATGGTACGAACTCAGTTTGTGCATAATGACAGATCAGTAAACGTCAAAATTGTGTAGTACATGAAAATCACTGATTCTTGAATTTATTTGTAAATACCAGGCAATAATTCTTACCCGAATAGTTACTTGTTTTGCACAACTATCTAATAAGGTTTGAATCAGTGATAAATCTACCAAACTGCTCCCATTTTACACCGATTTTCACGGTACCTAGGATGACAAAATCGTATCTGACAACGATCTGAAAACGTAATTACTAGCTTAGTTTGAAATGATGCTAGAATTCGGTTCAGACATCTACAAAAGTCGTAAAATATCATGTTATCATTTGCGCAGTTGGTTTGAGTCAATTTAAATCACTGAATAGACAGAGCTAGCTTAAACTCGCATCGCATCCAGTCCCTTTTCAGTTAACCCAAACTTCAGCAAATATCTTCACCCACAGATTCGTTTGACCACGTTCAACGATTTGTACTTCGTTGCGAATAATCTGTTTGATTCAATTCACCGTTCAAACATACACTCCTTGCCATATGGGCATTACTGCCCAAGTTCTGTGCACGATAACAGCCGCCAAGAACTGCAATCCCCTTCAATCTGTTTGTACTAAATTGAGTTCCATAGTTGATGATCTCCAATGCTACTTAACAAATTTTATTTGTGGCTTGTTGAACTGTGGTTGACCTAAAGAGTGATCTGCTCCTAATGGGCTGTGAGGCGGGTGAGAAGTTCCCATGGTTAGATCAAATCGCCAGGTCATTCGATCGGTCTCACTCACTCACTCACTCACTCACTCACTGTAGAGTAGCGTACAAGATTCGAGATGTGCAATTTGATAGGCTTAAACTGAGGCGATTTACGGAGATCGATTTGATAAAATAAAACATGAAACATTCACAGAAGCTGTCGAAGCTGTGCGTAGTGTTCGGAGTGATTCCGGTGAACAGAGTGTTTTTCTATTACCGGGGNNNCAGGACGATAGCAATAAAGCACATTCAGTTGGGGTAGCAAATTTCCCGTGACCTTTGATTCATTTGGCACATTAACATAGTGCCGTTACCAAATAAACCATATAGTTTGATATCAGTCTTTATTCCCAAAACTATACCAAACTGAAGCTAACCAGTGTTGGACGGTTTCCAAGAGTTTGCAAGCTATACATCCTCGGGATATATTTGTGCTCAGCTGTGAGGGGTATGCAGCATGCAATCATGTTGTGTATTTTTTTTGGCTAAACTTTTGTAATCTGGCAGATATTTTCATAACTTCAGAATATAAAGTGTGGTGGTGGTGGTGGTGGCAAATGAGGGGATGAAAAGGAAGAATTTTCTGTTACTTCATTGTCAGGTTTTGTCTGACTTGGATTCGCAATTTGGCACGCGCGAGAATGATGCGCCTCGGTCGGTAGGTTTGGCACACACACTACATAGAATAACACATACATGCATAAGACAAACAGTTAAGCTGTTAGGATTTGTGGAGACAAGAATAAACTAGCTATTGCGGTTACACTAACAAGAGTCGAGTGGAAAATAACCCGCCTTGGTGTCTGTTATCCGGTCTTTCTGTGGCATGGAACTTGCACGCAATGCAAAGTTAGACAATTAGCAACTCAACTCTGTTCTACCGGAATCATGCACCACACAATTTCACTATGCCCTCCGGGGCAGGTCCCTCGAAGGCCACCCACAAAGTTCACTGGTTTCTGTACAGTAGTCATAAGTTTATATATATACAAAGTCTTCACTCAAGGGACAGAATTCGCTATCTCCCTTGTGATCGGGTAGAAAATAACGATAGCATATTTCAAATACAGGGGAAAAAATTGCTTCGGAAACAAGACCAATGGACGAAATGTGGTTTGTTCTCTCTCTCTCAAACCAGCGACATATGCGTCCAGTTTGTAGGCTGGTACCTAGCCGCGCGCAAATCTGCCAGCACGTGGTCCTCATCAGGTGCAGTTTGTACATGGTGAGAATTTAGCAGACGAATGGATAATTTTTATTCACTCATAAATACAGTCGCAGTTGGATGAATTCATGGACAGGTCAATTGAGAAACTTTGTCAGTTAGTGTTTTTCCGTGAATTGAATTGCTACGATCTATAGTTGAGCAAAACGTCTAGTCGCTGGTACGATTAGAAAATAGAATTCAGTCGCTGGTTCCAGAACAGGTGACCACCAATTTGGACTGTCTGAGTTACAATTAATATTTACTGGATGTAGCGAACTCTCCTGTCTCTTCAGGTCAGAACATCGACATGCCCTTCTTCGATGCAATGCGATTCATGCTGATTTGCAGCTGCATAGACACTTAACCGAAGTTAACTACTTTTCAAACACTTAACCTAGCTTAATAAATGTTGAAATGTTTGATACCCTAATCAACGAAAGCACGAACTGAATTAATGTGAGCCCTTGTCCATCACCTCAACTGACTCTCAAAACCAGTGCGATCCCATCCATTCAACGGGATCCCGTGAACAGAGCCCATGCGGGATTGTTTACTGAACAGGTGGACTGCCAGCTTTGTCTTATCCTTGTGGTATTTCGATACCACCCCCACGCACGCACGCACGCACGCACCCACCGCCCCGCATTTTATGACACTTCACCACACATTTTTTTGTCATAATAAGAAATCCGCATANAACATGACACAACCTATTCTTGCAAGTTTAAAGGGAGCTCTGCATTTCAGCTTGACTCTAGTCTCAATCTGACAATTAAAAGTAATATCTGAACGAACATAGCATTTAGAACTGCAGAGATGAACGATCTTATCGCTTGGGTGTTGGTGGCCCAGTGGTAACATCACCAAATAACCCACCCCCACCCCTCCCCATCCTCGAATCCCACCACCACCATCATCACCACCACCACCACCACCACCACCAAAGCCACCTGACTTTCCATATTTTTGTGTTGTAGGATAGTTTTTTGATTGGCCGTTTCCTCCGTCTTGGAAATGCTATCATTATGTATTAAGGAAGTAAAAATGACTTTTTAGATTGCCCCGGAGATGCTAAAACGCTGCTCCGATTGAAGCAGGCAGCACCAATCATAGGCATGAGTAAGTCAGGGTCACGACTGATCAAGGTAACTCGGATGTAACTCACCAACTGCTCTAAACTGCGCGTCAGTGGCTCACCGATGATAACCCTATATCCGATCCAAGTCAACATTGTCTTTTGGGGAAGGAAGACGATTCAAATAACAGGTTACGTGGAGATTTGTTCATCTCTAGTCATAGTACTCTCGATTTTCTTTCATTTACCCCGATAACTTCCAAATGATAAACGGCTTTATCAGTTGTCCAGGGACTGAGTACTTGCGTTCCGCCCGTGAGATCCCGGGTTCGATCCCCAGTTGGGTCGATGAATTCGTACTGTTCATATTAGACCCAGACGGATAGAAACAGCTGTCCAGTGCTTTCCAGACTTTAAGTCTACGTCTCATTTACACGAAACAATCACCATCTAAACAAGTGAAACCCTTCATTACTTTCAAACCGACAATATTCCTATGAGATATGCATTGTTGCATCGATCGAGGTCACAAAATACCACGTTCAGGTCTCAGTGGGTCTATTTTTAAACAAATTAGGAATGAGGAATTCAACTACTCCTCTCGCTCAATTTTCTCTTCTGTCTTCCGTTGTCATAGATTGCCCGGGTACACGGATTGGATTTTACGCAGCGTTTGAAGCGAGCCAAAAGCTTCGGGTGCAAGAGTCTAAATTTAACACCGAGTTGCTTTACAGATTACAAAACACAAGATCAGTCTTAAACCCAAATACACATGCTTAGTCCTGGACACATCTGATATCAATGCCGTGCACAACTAATTTCATTTTAAGAATTCGTCGTGTAACTTAGGCGTGAGCTGAAAATCTAGGAAACACTGGTTTGAGCTCATCCGAGCGATGCGAATCCATCAACCCAACTGGGGATCGCGAACCCGGGACCTTACATGTTGAACCATAATACTTCCCACTCGGCCATCAGGCAGCTGATCTGACCTTTGATCATTTGGAATATTCACATTACAGCACAAACCATTTTTGCTAGTTTGTGACAGACATCGTACCTAGCTTATCCCAACATGGACCTACAGAACTACGACTCGGTTGGAGATTTTCACAATCCGATGATTTTTATCATAAAATGTTTCCAACCGTACTATAATTAGGATGTTTCAATTTCCCCTCAACATCTTTCTCGCCACCTGTAGCTCTCCTCGTCCGCTCTAGACCGCACAACCATAGATTCGCGAAATTTCACCGCACAGCTCTACGAAATGCAACGAGTTCATCCGGAAACTCTAGGTCCGGAAATCAAACACATTTATCTGGTATCGAACAATGGTCCATCACCCATCGAGAATTTGTGGGTGAATATCACAATGCCTGTGAAAACGGAGAACGATGAACACTTGGTCTATTTTCTCGATCGCATCCGTTATCACGCTGAGGATGGTGGACCACCGAGGATAGTTANATATGGCTCCCGAAGTAAGTGTTGCCTTGGTGAATTGGTCGATATAGATCATCATTTTTTACTCGTTCATGAAGTTTGGTGTGAGCGTATATGTCTTCCCCTGCCCACTGGTTCTGGCAATCTAATAAATGTGAAATTGCCCATATACTAACCAACATTATAGGCAGCATCTGGATATTATTGGTGGTCATATAATACACATACTGTTTGTGCTACTACTACTGGTGTCAGGTGCTGCTTACAGTTGTGAGTAGTATGTAAAATAATCGGTGATTTCTTTCGACGATCAAAAATTAACGAGATCACCGAGGGTAACTTGCTGGGTCTCAAGGAATAACCACCGATTGCTACATTCGTAACCCGTTGTGAGTCCAGGAACTGCGATAGTATGTTTCTGGTGAGATCTCTGTGTTCTGTATGTCAAATTAGTCATGTCTCATCTGTGATCCTCAACAACTAACTATACTCGACCGAGCACAGCCTTGTGAAATTATGACACTACTTTTTCATCACTAGTCCAAACTGGAATCGAGTTAGCACAACCTTCGCCTGATCATCTTACCATCATTTGTGCTGTGGATAACAATCCAGCCTTAGTGCCGGACCTATGTCGTTGAATGGATTGCGTGCAACTATTCGTACATATCGACAATGTGATTCGATTCGGTCAGATGTACTGAGTGACTGCTACATTGTTTCACATCGTCCGGTTCCTCTCGCCCATGATCACACAAAGAACCGAATTTCCCCCTGACCATCTCCACGATCTGATTGGATCATTTGACACGATTTGCCCCCAATTGGAATTCCGCAACCTGACACGCGACTGTCTGATCGCCCGTGTGTGATGTCACCTGTGTTTCATGATGATAGCAGTCATGCTGGATGCAGTCAAAGTTCACGGGGCATGCTAATGACAGGACCCGGTGGATTCTTGCTCGGGTTAGCGGATTAGTTATAACGCCCCTTGTTGCAGCTGAAACATCAATGAATACACCCGATCGATCGTGCAATTAGTGGACCCGAACTGGAGGAAAAGTTAGGAACCCGGCACGGTTTGAGCGTGAGCAGAGAAATCCCACAGGAGAATAAGTTATGGAAGGATTCAACCTATGGCAAATTCAAAGTGAAAAAAATGTACGTGATAATGGCATTGTGCCAATCAACGCTAGATTAGTTCAAAATACGGACATCATAAACATGACGAACCGTTGATTAGACAATCATATGTCAGGTTGAGGGACTCGAATTTGCGCGAATCCAAACCGATTGCAAAGAGAGTCCGAGGAGGATTTGGCTCTAAGAGGGCATGGGTGAGAGAGACAACAGGATGTACTGTACACCGGTAAAAACAACAAATGGTACTCGTTTCGACCAATAAATCCGTTTAAGAACTGTATCGTCGTATTCCCTTCTACAAGTCTGGTCTCGCGTACGCAAGCCATCCTTGTGCTCTGAAAAGTAATATGTTCAGTCGCTTCGCTAACCCTGGCCTAAACTGGGCACAAACGACCGAAACGACCGTGACCTTTGGCACGACCCATCACAAAATCACAATCAACTAATGATGTTCATCACATCAGGCTATTACACTATAGTTTGACAATTCTGAACCCTGTATGTATTAGTCCGCGGAGGAATTTATCGAAAACCAACTTTATTCGCTACAATGCTTTCTCAAGGTCACGATGGGAATATTAAATGAGCAAAAAATCTTCTTATCCATCGATGGTCCGTCTTTCATCTATAATACGTTCATCGTAACATAACGTTCATGCCACAGATATTACTCCAAAAATATGTACAAATGTAGCATTGGCCACAACTTTAAACGAAAAACATACTATTTGTCATTACAGTCACACTGTAATATACGGTGAATGTTTGATGTTAAATGTTATTGTGCAACTAAATCTACCAAACATGAAATAATTTTCTTCGCTCTTATCCCAGGGCGAAAATAGATATGGATATACATGCATACAATGTTTCAACACTTTTTCAAGTCTCCGCATTCCACGCTCAACTATCCGTACCTTACCAGTGGAGGTTATTCATGGTCGGTGACCAGTAATGCAGACTGGAAGCGGCTTATTCAAAACGGGACTTAATTATTGCCATTCGCTAGACCCATGATACAGGAAATATGTGAGAAAACTCGATTAATTGACAATTGCTTCACAATCACTGCCTTATGCAGACTATGACCCTTTTCGATCAGTGCTCAAATTCGGCCAGAAGTACATTGCTGTGCATTAAGCGTCG